CCTGGTTGCAGCAGTTTGGATGTAATATTCAACAACTTTTTTTTCTGTGTAGTAATTACTTGGGATTTTCGGGGAAAAACATAATTGATTGGATTTTTTTGAGTGTGTCGTGTTGACGAAAATAGAGCACGGATAGAAAAAATAGATGGAGATCAGGAAATGCATGTAATGTAAAGGGTGTTAAAAAGTTTCAGAGGAATACAAGTCCGAACGTGAAGAGGATAGGTGTAAAAAGAAGAAAAATCTGCTGCAATGTAGCGGCCATTAATTACGTGACGCTTATAGGGGGAGAGAGGTCACCTATATCGTAACGAAATATTACTTAGGGGAGGAGGAGTAAAGCTTTCCGTTACGTAACAACGAGAACATTATGTTTTTTTTTCTTTGTTTATTGATGTAAAGTTTGAAAATACAGGTCAAAAAATGTCCTCACTAAATGTTGCTTGCAAAATGGATATGTTTTAATCACAGACAAACAGACATATTATTTTATATTTATTTTAGAGCGTTACGTAATAAATAGAGGGGGATCATTTTCAGTGTAACGTTTTGGTCGAAAGGGAGGGGGTCGAACCTATTGATTTTTAGCGTAACGTAATTAATGGACACCGCCCAACAATGTTAACCAAAGATCACAGCTCAAGTGCAGAAAACGGTTCCGTACCAAATAGGTCGAAACTGCACCGTAGGAGGAACGGGTGTGTAGTGACCGAGCACGATTCCAAATAAATTACGTGCAGCCGTCGCAACAATAGCCAACAGAAATGCCGGTCGGTGCAATCGTACTCCAACACATTCCAGACTAAACCCATCAGTCGATCTCCTTCGATCAATACCGCATGCTATCTTTATCTCTCCCACTTTATTTCCTATAAGTCATCGCACTCTCATACGCTTACACGTTACACCCCACAAACGAGACGAACAACCCGAAACAAATACCTCTCTCGGGTTTCTATGTTCCGTTTTGCTTCGTATTTTCCGCTACACGAATTATCTGTTGCATCGCATCACACGAGTGGAACTTCGGATCAGAAAGTGGCTCTACTTGTCATTTGCGAACACTAGCGCACCTAGCGGTAGAAAGCATCTTCTGCCTGCAGTTAAGATAGGCAGCATGCTATCACAGAACAGAAGGGGAAGTGCAAACAAATCGATGAATCAAAAAGTGGTTCGTTTTTCTGTTCAACAAGCAATGTGTTGTGGTAGCGTTCCACACGGGCTTTCTATGTGCACTCAAACTATCATAGCATGCTGCCTATCTTAACTGCAGGCAGAAGATGCTTTCTACCGCTAGGTGCGCTAGTGTTCGCAAATGACAAGTGGAGCCACTTTCTGATCCGAAGTTCCACTCGTGTGATGCTATGATAGTTTGAGTGCACATAGAAAGCCAGTGTGGAACGCTACCACAACACATTGCTTGTTGAACAGAAAAACGAACCACTTTTTGATTCATCGATTTGTTTGCACTTCCCCTTCTGTTCTGTGATCGCATGTTCCCGTTTTTACCTAATAGAGCTGTGCGATCATCGATAGAAGTACAACATGTACTGAACAACATTGTAACTTTATTTTCCCTTCATTAACTGTGTGATCGAGCACTCAGCGGCTCGATATGTTCATTAATATTCTGGATTGTGAACATCAATAAAACAAGTATTTTTTTAACGAGTTCATCCCATCTACTACAGGGTGGTGGTGATGGATCACTAGGTTCCAGTTAATATTCCCAGCTGTATTTGGACGGGAATTTGATTCACAATATTCTCGCACAGAAACTCCATCAGCCGGTGGCTGTATTCCTTCACCATTAACTCTTTCTCCTCCGAATCCGAACCAGCAGCAGCAACAAGTAAAACTTGGGCCGAGTGGAAAAAATTACCTGAAGTCCTTTTTCACCTGCTTGTCGTAACTTCCATTACAGGAGTGGAACTTCGAATCAGAAAGTGGCTCCACTGGTCATTTGCGAACACTAGCGCACCTAGCGGTAGAAGGCATCTTCGGCCTGCAGTTAAGATAGGCAGCATGCTATGATAGTGTGAGTGCACATTAGACTGATGCAAAATTTGACTTTTTCGCTCCACAATGCTTAAATGGTTTCAAATCGGGTCCTGATAAGCCTTCCAAAGTTACAACTCATTTGGTTAGAAACAGACTTCGCACAAGCCATTTGAAGTTTACATGTAAATTACTATGGGAAATCTCAACTTTTTGTTCATTGGCTTCTAGTCTTTTTCCATATTGAGCTGCGAAACAGTTCGATAGCTATTGTTATAGAAAATTTTTTCAGCTACATCTTTGCTGAAGATCGTTTCTATGTAAAACGAGACAGGAAAAAGTTATTAATTATTTAAGAGATTAGTAAACTTATGACATGATCAAGCAGCTGCTATGCAGGCAACACTGTATGTTGCAGTCTGACATAGTAGCCATGATTTTTGTGTCCTATTGAACGCCGCAGAAACACCAATGTTGCCTGCTGAGCAGTTGATTGAGCACGATCATAAGACATCAGCGCATTGAACCATTGATATTTCGATCCTTGCATTTGATCGAAAAGTGGTCTTCAGCAAAGTTGTAGCTGGGAAAATTTCCTACAAGCACAGTTGAAAGCTTTTGAAGCAGATCGATATGGTGAATTATTAGATCGACACGAACAAAAATCTTGGTTTTCCCATAGTAATTCCCATACAAACTTCAAATGGTTTGTGCCATCTCAGTTTCTCACCAAATGGGTTCAAATTTTGAGAGGTTAGTCAGGATCCGATTTGGAATCGTTTAAGTATTGTGGAGCGAAAATTTCAAATTTTGCATCACTCTAGTGCACATAGAAAGCCCATGTGGAACGCTACCACATCACATCGCTCGTTGAGCAGAAAAACGAGCACTTTTTGATTCACCGATTTGTTTGCACTTCCCCTTCTGTTCTGTGCTTCCATGCTACATCACACAAACACCTGGGCTTCGACTTCGATCGGTTTGATTCCGGGAAATGGATGTGCGTTGCCGTCTTCTCCGTGATGCACTTGATGTTGTCCCACGACTGATTTTAGACGAGTGGTCCATCATCTTTTTCAAGTTTTCACACCGATTTTTAATCGGTATAGCCAGCTGACATACATGGTGTTTGTTGTGGAGATTGTTGATAACTGACAGTGAGTATGGCAGAGTGCTTCGCGGTCGACCTGAAAACTTCGAGAAACTGCACGGCTTGCTTGACAATTTGTGTGCATTTAGAAGGGATAAGTTGGGAATAGAAAGAATAAATAGGATGTATTGAAATTTTCTGCACGTAGAAAATTTTATGAGAGGTTTTGGAGAAAATGGGATAATCCTGAAGTGTTATTCCCCCTGCCTACATTATACTTTTCCTCCGCTTATCTATGGAATCTATAGCATCTATACTTTGTATAAGAGCGAGGTGTCAACGAATAGATTTAGTGTCTACATATAGGTGTTCTAATGTGTCAAATTCATGATTCAGCCATGTTGGATTTTTGTATGGGACAGCGACCGAGTTTGTTTACAATTTGCTCTAAAATCGCACTTCCCCCCCTGCGACCTCCTCGCCTATATAGTGACAAAGCTGTATCACCATTTATATAACCACCATGGTGTCAACGATCAAAAATTTAAATCATGATTTAAAAATCGAGATGAATTTCGTTGTGCTCAGAAAACGAAGCTCTATTAGATGATGTATAAAAATCGGTATATTTTTCAAAGTTAAACAACCCAATAAATAATAAAAGTAGATAGTGCAAAAATAAAACAAAATATTTTTTGAAACAAAAAAAAAACAAACTCATGCGTTGTTAATTAAAAGTTTTCGAAACATACACGTTAATTAATCAAACTAAACTTTCCTTTGGCCGCTCTTTTGGGCGCTTATCCACAGCTTTTGTAGCTGACTTAGGAATATTGTGGGTTTTAACTAGGCAATTTTTGCAGAACATCAGGTTTCACTTGAAAATTGAAAATATATATTTTTGTCCCCCGTGATATATCGGGACAGGTTTCCTCTTGACATATTTTATGTTTGAGTTAATATTTGTAACGGCACATGTTCTTTAAAAACTGGGTCTTTGAATCGTGCATTATGCATAGAATGACAAGGGTTTTCAGATCTAAATTCCATGGGTTTCAAATATATCACGTTTCAAATAAATCACCAACAACCGGCTAACCAACTTACCCCACTTGTGGGGCTAGTTGGTTAATATGACTTTTGTCTTTGCTAAATTCCCATTTAGGAACACTTTGGAATCGTAGATGTATCAGCCAGCTTTCCAAGCGTTAAGAGATGAACTAGCCTATGGCTAAAAATCTCTATAATAAAGAAAAAAAAAAAGCTTTCCAAGCGATATGAATACCCTGTTTGTATGATATAGGATTATCTGATTTCATAGCAATTTGCTACAACTCTTGATATCAGAATCCCAGTCAGAATCCATACATAAATATTTCCCTGGAAGTAATATGCAGGAAGTAATATATCAAGATACTTTATGTCAAGTAGGCTGTAGTGTGGACGGGGTATTAGACGCACTTGAAATATTGCTAGGGATTTTTCAACGTATTATTTCATTGAAGTTTACCCTAGTTTGGTCGTTTTCATGAATCAAAATACCGATAAAAATTAAATTAGCATTCAATTGCAATTTCTGAGAAAATTTTCCATTGAAAATTATAACCGCAGTCTATTCATTGCATGCATTCTTAATTTTTTTTCGTTTAGACTTTGCTCCTTGACTTTGTGGTGGTCCGTTAAATCTAATGCTCTTCCTTCCGTTGAGCATTTCCTAGAATTGAAAGCACCAGCATGCCAACGCTAGAACACTTTGCTGACGAACGGCAACACGTGTCTTTTACCTGGCAGAACACAGTAGAACACGTGCGCATGCGCCCGCTAGCTGGTATTGGTTCGGCCAAGTCACACGAAAATACAACACTTATTTCCCCCAACCATCACAATTTTCCTCATCTGTCATAAGCCATTTTCCATTTTCCACCCAGGAAAAATGTTATCAGATTTGCAATCTAGAATGTTCGCGAAAATTTCTTAAAATCTGAACTGAAAGTGTTGCGATGACAATCGGTAGCTGTCGCGATTTCCCTACTCAGTGAAAATTCTCATCTGGAAAATCAAATTCAATCGGTAGAAGAGATTTTCAGTTTGACCTAATAAACGCTAGGAAGAAAAATAAACTACAACAACAACCCAGCCAAAACAATGTTGGGAAAATCGATTTCCTTTCTACTGCTGATGGGATGCTTCATCCTGCATCAATCGACTGCCACCTATCTCACCGATGATGTCTACGTTTCGGAGCTGTTCTCGCTTCGGGTGGAACCGCGAATGTTCAACTGGACCTTCCAGGGTCTGACCGAGCAGTTTCATTACCGTCCCTCCATGGAGGGCTATCCGGATCTTCCGTCCTGGGTCCGCTACATGTACAGCAGTGAGTACCATTCCGGGTTCCTATACGGGACTCCACCGGAACGGACCGCGGACAGTAAGGTGCCGATCGAGATCATCGCACTGAACAAGCAAACGTACGAAACGAAGCGCATTGTGCTGATCTTGTCGGTGCACCGGAAACCTCCGCCGAGGAATGTCATCCAGATGAAAATCGACAATCTGAACTGGGTGCACATGATGGATCCAGGTAGGATCGAGAATTTGAAGAACATTTTCCGGAACGATCTGTGGCAGGAGAGTCGACAGGATTTGCACATCATCTTTATGGACTCGGCTATCAAGCTGGGTGCGCGATTGCCACTGAGGCCACAGCAACGGGAGGGGGTGGTGGTGCATTTGGGTAGCAGGGCTGATTTTTCCGGCAGGTTGTTGGACTTGCAGGAGGAGGTTAAACCGTTGTACAAGATAGCATCGTGTAATTACAAGAGAACTTCGGTGCAGACAACGTTTGAAAGCTCGGGATTCAAGTTGGATTGGTGCGCTTTTAAGCTGGTTAGTTCGTATCGGCACTGCAATGCCCAATTAGCCATTATACACTTCACTTTTTGCAGCACGCAGCAGACGACGATATCACCGCGATGCCTCATCATCCCCATGAAAGCTATAAACCGGTCAAGGGATCTGAGCTGAGTACACTCCGCCGCTCGGACAAGTGGGACGCTCCGATGAAGTCCGAGGTGCCGGAACGGAACTACAGCGACGAGTTTGCCGTTTCGTTCGCGATTCCTGGAATGATCTTTGCCGTGTTGTTATCCGTCCTCACGGTGATTTTGTGCTTCCAGCATGAGAAGTTGTAAGATTTTCCTGCAAGTCTCTTTGATTGTTTTAATGTTGTTCTTATAGAAATGATGTTTTTATAACTTTTCGTTTCCATTTTTTTCCGTTGTCTTCTAATTTGTTATTCATCTTTTGTAGGCGAGATGACGATTCTGAATATTATTTCGATTTTCTCTTTAACATTTGTACAGATTTCTTCAGGTGATTTTTTGCGTTCTGACTTGTTTCTCGTTGAAGTAGTTGAACATTTTCTGGAGTAGATTAAAACTACCGTTTCGATTAAAAGATTGAAAAAATCTTACAGACATGAGTACCGCCCGGCTCAACCCGTCCAGATGGTTCAATACTCACAACAAGCACAACAACCGACAGGGACGCTCAAGAGTTTGAAGGACGCTCCGCAAGAGGAGGATTTAAGCATTCGTTCTGCTAGGTGAATTGATCCTATTATTTTGAAACTGTTAAAGACTTAATTCATCCTATGTATCGACAGTCCTTCGGAAAGCTACTACCGAGATGGAAGTCCCAGGATTGTAAATTCTTATCTCCGACCAAAACCACCCCCATACAAGTCAACCGGTGGATCAAACAGTTCCACCATGCAGCGAAAGGCCCCGATTGGTGTTGATATGTGACCGGTAGAGCCTCGGGTTTTGTTTTGCTAAACAAGGGATGTTTGGAATTGTACGCACATACGTCTAAGCGAGTAGTCGATCGTAGCCATTATATGGATGATTAATAAACTGAAATTGGTAGTACGAAATTCGAATAGGCATCATGATTGGCATCTACAATATGATAACAAAAAAAAACTTCATTGAACTCAACTCAAAAACTAAATCATCAGAACATCATTAGCATCTACGCATATCTTAACGATCATCAAAATTGCTGAGCTACAGTATTTAAAATGCTTAACATTGGGATCATCACTGCATTGCCATGTATTTGAATATTCATCAGCTCAAATTATTGGGTCTCAAATTTATCGAATGATCAATAAAATAAACCGTTAAGCAACATTTAAATAATCTCGGTTCTTTCTCGGCCAGACAATTTCCTAATAAATCTAGGTGAATTTAGAAATGAATAAGTCGAGAGAATCCTGCTATATATGTTAGGGTGGGTCAACTTTACAACTCCCTGTTCCTCACTGCTCTTTCAATGCGTATTGAGGTCTCCAACAACTGTGAAAATTTTAAACGATTTTAGTTATAATCTCGATTTGTATGGGAAAATGTGTGGGAAACGGAACGATCGCAGATCGATTGGGTCTTAGCTTAGCTTAGAGCTTAGCTTAGACTGACAGCACATATCAAATGGTTGCTGCTCCGTGATTGATCAGAACTAATGCAATTGCACAATTAATCAACTGAATGGGGTTGGGAGTGACCATCCATTCTCATTGTACAAGTTTCAGTGAGTCCAAACTTTAAAGATCTATAACGGCGCCGGCCACGTCCTTGCAATCAAGTGGGAGTAGGAAAGGAACACTAGAGTGACCTTTGTTATTTTGGGGACTGTTTTCACCTCTGCGTCCCCAAAAAGGTCATTGTTAGTAGGTTGGGTTCGTTGGATCAGGATTCACCTTGCGATCGTAGTTTTGATATAGTGTATTGATTTCTGAAATTAACGCCGCTGGAATGCAAATGAGTCGACACTATCAATTCAGTAATGTAAAGGGGCTTGTGTTCTAACCCACGGTCTTCTGTTCAGTAAGCAAAAAAGGCCGCTCTATGGCTACCGTGCCCCTGACATCACAACAAGCTACGACCAACGGTCTTTCAAGGCCGGGTGAAAGGAATTATACATATGAAATTACGTCCCTAAAAGCAATTAAAAATGTATTCCAAACTGCATCTAGCGTACATTTCGCGTATGATCCACGTCGTTACATAACAAACCGTTATGGATCAGTTAAAGCCAGGTCTTTTCCCCAGACCTCTTCCGTTCCGACATTCTCATCTGTGAAAAATAAGACGTTGCGGACAATTTCACCCTGAGAACCCTTTCACTTCGGGAAGCAGCCGACCAATGGAAACACGGATGCCATTCGGAGAGTGACAGGATAATTTAACACCTAGCAAGTCTTTTTCATGATCCACTCGTTTGATGGCGGTACCGGAAATGGAAAGCATTGGTTTGAGAAAAGTTTCCAGTTTATCAACAATTTCTCGCGGTTCGAATTCCACGTGAAGTTTACGGACAAGTTGCATCCAGCATCCAAGTAAATTGGTGAATTCGTTCCAGTTTAATCTTTTTTGCCATATACTTAGGTAGGGTACACTCAGAATAATCTACACGTTGAAGCTAAGTGAAATATCATATAAGCTCTAAAAAAATTTCCTCTCCTCTCAGTTTTACGTGACTCACGTAGAATGTATGTGATGTCCCTTGATTTTCACAGAGAGTTTCTTTTTAACACACCTACATAATCAATTTTTTTTTAAACTTTATTTAAGAGATTTTTAGCCTAAGGCTAGTTCATCTCTTATACATTATCAATTAAATGTACATGATTTTCACATAACACTGAATTTATGTGCGATTCACGTAAAGCTTATGTGATTTCTACATCTAAAAAAGAGTGGTACGTACACTCAGAGCGGTGCTAATCATGGCGGCATCATGATGTGCTTTTGTCCGGTATTCGGTAGTCGCGAGATGTAAGTATAACATTATGGATTATTTTATTCTCTTTAACAAAAACAAACTGTCTGTTTCATCGTGCTCAACAGAATGATTTCAAGCTGTCCAGCAGTTTCTTACCCTAAGAAAAAAAGTATTCCGGCCCATCTGCATGATCGTCCAGATTGTTTATACTGCGTATCGAATATTTAAAAAAAATCTGATGATACACCACATTAGAATATTTGAATAAATTAAAGAAATATTATTAAATTATACTACTATGAATACAGTAATGATTGTATCTACATATTAAGGAAATATTTGTTTAAACAGTGTCGAAATATTGATACTAGAATCCTCCAATGAATGTCACCGGCCAAATTATGTAACTTCTATGCAGTGTTGGGAAAATATCAAAAAATCAAATCTCACCAACACCCAAGATCACGCTTGATTTTCGTAGACAACAATCAACAAGCAAGCAACTGCGGTTGATTTTGCTAGCTGTGATATCGCAGCTCGGAATATCAAGCTAACAAAACTCACCAACTCCAAATCTCACCAAACTGTGGTGAGATTGAGTTTAATGATGTTTGCTTTGCACCCGAATGTAACAAAAACTTCCATAACGGCTTGCAGCAGTCTCTTCGCGTCTGCCATCGGTGAAGATTAAAAAGAGATAGCAAACTATGCTTTCTCTTTTTAAGAAAACGATGTGCAATGGAATCATTTTTGTGTCGAGTCAACTCTCAGCTTGATGTTTGAACGTTGTGAATAGTCTCGCAATATCAAAGGAGCTTGTAAAATCAATATCAAGCATGATATTTTGATCCAATATCACGCGTGATATTGCGAGCCCATGAGAGCGGAAAAATATCAATTGATTTCGGATTTTGCCAACACTGCTTCTATGTGATAATCCTGTGAGCTTCATGAAATGAGTACCCCTACATGAGAATCACGTAGCTTTTATGTGAAAAGTACGATGGAAAAAATCTACGTATGTTTTCACGTAGTATTTACGTGAAAATTATTCTGAGTGTAGTATTCCCAATCTTTTTCCGAGATTTGGTGAAATTTGAGCAATATTTTGAATATTGAATTGTTGGCAAGCAAATTAGTAGCAAATGAAATTTTCCCATACAAAATTTAGAATTCTAGATCATAACCAAATTCGATCAAATTTGTCGCGGACCTCACTACACATCGGAAGAGCAGGAGGATGTGATCCACACAGCAAAAAATTAATTTTAATATCACATCAAAGTGGATGCACTTCAATCGTTTCGAAAATATGGTGTACTATTACATGCCAAAAAGGGCAAAATTATCATTAATACAGTGCATGTGCTGACATTACGTTGCTTTTACTGCATTTGTTTATTTGTGTGGCCATATAAATTACATGAGATTTTCGACATGATTGAAGAGCATCCTCTAGGATGTAATATTAAAATTTATTTTTTGCTGTGCACCATACAAACTGTTATGCCGATAGGAGAACCCATCGGAAGCATTTTCTGTGATTTTCAAGAAAGTAAGGAAATGTTCTATCGGGAGGTATTTTTCAGTGTAAATCACGTCCAAACATTAACTCTCTCGACCATTGAAACCCATAAAATGTATGGAACCCCCCCAATAGAACATTTTAAAACTAGCCTCAAATCAGGGTCCGCACACATCTTCCTCCAGCCGATTCCAGCCAGACATTAATTAACTATTTTTGGTATTATTCCACCCTTAAACGTTTGTTTACGTTTGATGAAGCTCCAACTCCCCAACGGTCAACCAACAATCAATACAAAACTAACGATTTTAAATTAGCTCACTACTTGACTAGCCTATTGGTCCCAAGAAAATAGATTAACGTGCCCCATTCTAGTTGACCGTTTCTTCGGGAGCTTCTGGTCTTAGAGTTACCTCTATGGTTCAACTTCCAACGTCCCCCTAGTAGCATATTTTTCAACATGGCTGATCACCCAAAAATGTAACGTCATTTAAGTATCTTCCCTAATTTATGTGTATACAAGATATGAAATCATTTGGTAAAATAAGGGATGAAGTCCCCGCAACGTGGGGATACTAGGTCTGATTTTCAAATTTCAGAAGAACGGGGAAAATAAGTGATGAACCAATCTACGGTTGAAAATCACTTTAATTAAATTTGAAAAAAAGTAAGAAGTTGTATCCAAGACACGATCGTAGATTTGATGTAGGATTCAATAGTGACTTATTGAAAATTAATAAAGTGTTTATTTTAGTAGATTGGTAGATAAATTTCAAATCGTTTGGCTTGCTTAAAATTAAAATCCATCTACTATTGACAGAGTTATATGTGGTCAAAACCTGACCTCTTTTCGTAATGCGGTCGATTTTGGTTTTTTGGAAATGCACCCCCAATATGTTGCCTAAAGACGTAATCCTACGTCAAAAAATCCACTTAAAATAATTAGTTATATGTTATTCAGAATATGACCATATCATATTACTACCCACCCAACAAACAATTCACAGTCACAAATAAGCATACACATTGAATAAATGCTGTATAACAGTGTACAATGCTGAATAAAACAGGATGTCGAATTATGTGCTGAAAAAAGCTCATTGAGATCGATAGATGCGCCTTTATTGCGCCGTTTGCTCTGATATGATTAATTTACTTATTAAAAGCTTTATAAACGTTGACTGTCTTCTGTCTTGCCACAAATGTGTTGCATTGCTGATTTCAGTAGCTCAATTTTCCGCACGTTCAATAGGTATTTCCACTCTAATTCCAACGAAATTCACCAATTTATCATCTCGAATCGCACGACACGTTACAACGTCCAACGTTAATGTCCGGCCCATAATTTGTTAGGCGAAAATGGCCAATGTCACCGGCTCAAGCAAAGTGAACAACGACACATGGATCCGGTTTGGGATCGGAATAAAGTTGTATGCTACTGCTCACAGAGAAGCCGACTAAGGGGGAGGGAACGATGATGGAATGCACAAACCGGGCTATGTTGCAAATAATGATAAGTATGTTTTGTTTTTTTTTTTTTTTTAATTATATTACGGTAGATCTTATAAAGAACGACATCATGTAAGTCCTGGAGTCATTCACATTTAATGTATGTGTGCTGTTGTGATCCTACTGAAAAATGTTATACAGACACATATCCTTAAATCTTTCAGGCTTGCGAATGTTTCGAACTGGTCGCTTTAATATTTTATCGACTGGATTTTCCACATGCTCGTCGTTTTCGATGTTCTCAGCTTCGTTTTCAGGATTAGATACTTCTTCGGTTTCAGGATTAGGTACTTCTTCGGTTTCACGGTTATGCAACGGGGCACGTTTAAGATCATTAATGTGTCGTGTGTATT